TGGCCGAAGGAGGACGAAGGTCCTGACAGGCGGGACCCACCTGTCAGCGACAGCGAGAGGGCGCGCGCGCGGCGGACTGGGCCGAACTGGGCCGAGGAGAGAGAGAGAGGGGTTTTGGGCCGACTTTCGGCCCAAAGCCAAAAGAGACTTTTTAAAACCTTTTTCAATTTAAATTATTTCTTAAATGCAATTCCATTTATTAAAAATACTTCCTTAGCTCAAATAAATCCCAGAAAAATCTAGGAATTATAGAATTAAGCAAAGTATTTAATGAAATTTTATCTGGGCCCATTTTATATTGGAATTTATTAATTAAAACTAGATCTTCTCTTCAAGACTTTTAAAATTATTTCTAAAAATTCCATTTAAACAACAATTTATAAATTTTAAATTTTCAGGGTGTGACAAACCTACCCCCCTTAAACAGAATCTCGTCCTCGAGATTCGGAAGAACTGGCGAACAGGTGCGGATGAGCTGACTTCAATTCATCTTCTCGTTCCCAGGTTGATTCTTCTTCCGGGTGATTACTCCATTGAACTTTGCAGAAACGGATAACTCGATTCCTGGTTCTTCTCTCATTTGTTTCCAGGATACGGATTGGTTTCTCAACATAAGTCAAATCCTCTTGGACTTCTATCTGCTCAATATTAGCTTCTTCGGTAGGTACCCTTAAACATTTTTTTCAATTGTGACACATGGAACACATTATGGACTCCTGCCAAAGATTGAGGTAATTCTAACTGATAAGCAACCTCTCCTCTTCTACTGACAATCTTATAAGGTCCCACAAAACGTGGTGCCAATTTTCCCTTGGTGTGAAAACGATGAACTCCTCGAAGAGGCGTGACACGAAGATACACATAGTCTCCTTCTTCAAAACTCAAATCTCTACGGCGATTGTCGGCATAACTCTTATGTCGAGACTGAGCCACTCACAATCTTTCTTGAATGACCTTTACCTTTTCTTCTACTTCCCTTAGGATATCCGTCCCGAAAACCTGACGTTCTCCCGTTTGATCCCACAAAAGCGGAGTGCGGCACTTCCGACCATACAGTGCTTCGTAAGGAGCCATCTGTAAACTAGCTTGATAACTGTTGTTGTATGAAAATTCTGCATAAGGTAGATTCTTATCCCAACTTCCACCGAAATCTAAAGCACAAGCTCTCAACATGTCTTCCAAAATCTGATTCACCCTTTCGGTTTGTCCGTCTGTCTGTGGATGATAAGCACTACTAAAGTTCAGCTTAGAACCCATCTCTTCCTGAAGTTTCTTCCAAAAATTTGAAGTAAACTGACTGCCTCGATCAGACACTATCTTCTTAGGGACGCCATGCAAACACACAATCCTTGCCATATACAATTCCGCCAAGCGACTACCGGAATAAGTTGTCTTTACCGGAATAAAATGAGCCACTTTGGTAAGTCTGTCGACTATCACCCAAATAGAGTCAGGCTTGATGACGTTCTGGGTAAACCAGTAATAAAATCCATACCTATTTCTTCCCATTTCCATTCAGGAATCTTCAAAGGCTGCAACAAACCGGCGGGTTTCTGATGTTCTGCCTTGACTCGCTGACAAACATCACATACTGCTACATATTCCGCGATTTCACGCTTCATACTTGCCCACCAAAATCTTTCCTTGAGATCCTGGTACATCTTAGTACTACCAGGGTGAATGGAGTATAAAGTATATCATGAGCTTCTTTCAGAACTGCATCTTTTAGATCTTTGTTGTCGGGGACACAGATTCTCTCACCCAACCATACAGTTCCTTGCTCATCCTCCAAGAAACCAATAGCTTTTCCTCTTCTCATATTCTTCTTGATCTCTTGAATATCAGGATCATTAATTTGGGCTTCTCTAACTTGATCAATTAGAGTGGGCTTCGCTTCTAAGGCTGCAACGAAACCTCTACCGACAATTCCCAAATTTAATCTTTCAAATTCCTTGCATAATTCCAATGGCAACTGTCGTCCTTCTGTAGCATTGCAATAGCCTTTTCTGCTAAGAGCGTCTGCTACAACATTAGCCTTTCCCGGATGATAATGAATTCCCATGTCATAATCCTTAATTAATTCCAACCATCTCCGTTGTCTCATGTTCAGATCCGGCTGAGTAAAGATATACTTTAAACTCTTGTGATCGGTGTACACTTCTGTACGAGTACCGAAAAGATAATGACGCCAAATCTTCAATGCATGAACGACTCCAGCTAACTCAATATCATGAGTAGGGTAGTTCTTCTCATGTGGACGTAACTGTCGAGAGGCATAGGCAACCACCTTCCCATCTTGCATCAGAACACAACCTAACCCAAGTTTGGATGCATCGCAATACACTTGAAAACCCTTCTTTGGATCAGGCAAAATCAAAACAGGAGCTGATATTAAGCGACTTTTCAACTCTTGAAAACTCTACTCACATTCTTCCGACCACTTGTACTTCACATCTTTCTGAAGCAGTCGTGTCATGGGCTTAGCAATCTTGGAAAAATTCTCTATAAACCTCCGATAATATCCTGCGAGGCCTAGGAAACTGCGAATCTCTGAAACTGTCTTCGGTTGCTTCCAATTGGTTACGGATTCCACGTTACTAGGATCGACGGCAACTCCTCCGGCTGAGATGACGTGACCAAGGAATTTCACTTCAGACAACCAAAATTCACACTTGCTAAACTTAGCATACAGTTGATGTTCTCGTAGCTTCTCCAATGCAAGGCGAAGATGTTCCTCATGCTCTTCTTTGGTCCGAGAGTAGATAAGAATATCATCAATAAAGACCACCACGAACTTGTCTAGGTATTCCATAAACACCTTATTCATCAAGTTCATGAAGAAAGCAGGGGCATTGGTAAGTCCAAAAGACATAACAGTACATTCGAACAACCCATACCTAGTGGTAAAAGCTGTCTTAGGTATATCTTCCTCTTTGATTCTCAACTGATGATACCGTGATCGGAGATCTATCTTGGAGAAAACAGTGGCACCTTTAAGCTGATCAAACAAATCATCAATCCTGGGTAGTGGATACTTATTCTTGATAGTCACATCGTTTAGTGCACGATAGTCCACACACATTCTCTGAGTATGGTCTTTCTTTTCCACAAAAATAACCGGAGCTCCCCATGGTGATGAACTCGGTCTGATGTATCCTTTCTGTAGCAATTCATCTACTTGCCTCTTAACTTCTGCCAACTCATTGGCTGCCATTCGATAAGGTCTCTTATGGATCGGAGTTGTTCCAGGTACCAAATCTATTCTGAACTCTATATCCCTTTTAGGCGGCATACCAGGTAAATCATCTGGGAACACATCAGGATACTCCCGGACTATAGGAATCTCTTCCAAAGTTATCTGGTTCAGTCTTGACCTTAAAGACTCAAATGACAATGCATGAACAGTTACAACTCGACCATCATAGCTGGTGAGAGTTACTTTTTTGTTGGCACAGTCTATCACACCTTTATGTCTGGCTAACCAGTCCATCCCTAGGATGACATCAAGGTCTTTGGATTCTAACAAGATAAGATTGGCCAGAAATGGTACTCCTTGAATTTCTATTCTGACAGAGGGGCTACGTTGCAAAGAGAGTGCTTGATTATTTCCTTAGTTTTGCTGATTCTGAAATTGCTGCATCATCATGTTCATAAGCTGTGTCTGTTGAGCAAGAACTTGAGCAAGAGTGGGATTCTCTCCATTGTTGTTGTTATTGGGGTTGTTGGGACCATTCCCATTGCTGCGAGTGTTCACCATCTGGCATGGGCAGGGCACAAGAAGAGAAACCGGGGAAACTACTTAGGACAGAGAGTTACTTTAACTTTTATTGATCTTAACTGAGTTTCATTATTACAAACTAAAGACTCTCACACCACTAAACTCACCAACTTCCTAACACTCAAAAGCAAACAAACGCATGCACTTACATCCCACCACTGATGTAAATCACATGCGAGCCACACACAAGCAAACTTTAAGCAAGCAAACTAACACAACGATCTAAGACAACGACTTAACAAGTCAGTCTAGTTCTTCCAAGCATCGGAGGTCGATTGAAGGCTCGTCTTTATCATCCTGAGTTGCTACCCACTCAATCTTGGAATTGTTGCGCTTGGATTCTTCTTCTTCATCACTACTTATGATGATGACCGGAGGATCCGCTTGAGCTGGGGCAACTTCTTTCTCCACCACACGAACCTTTGGCGCCAGTTGATAGCGAGGGACAAATAGAGCTCTCTTCCTTGCGGTAAGACGAATCCTGGCCTTCTGCGGCGGTGCTTCTCCCTTCAATGCGGCTAATTCCTTCTCCAAACGATCCACCTTGTCTTCTAACTTGCAAATCTTACCACGATTCCGGTCTTCACGATCTTGAGCGGCTAACACAGTCTCCGCACGACTTTCATCCATAGCCCACAACATCTCAACCAAATGCTTCGTGGTAGCATCATTCTCAATTCCTTCAGTCTCAAGGTAACTGCCACGGTCACTTCCCTGGGGTTGGCGAGGATGGTAGCGATACTCAGTGTCGGCCAATTGATCACTGTAGCGATCACGGAGCTCTCCTATGGCGATCCTTGCCACCTCCTGACATGCATGGATGTAGTTTCTTCCTCCAGCTTCAAACATCACTGAGGGGATATCTTCACTATTACTGTTCAAGGTGACTTTGACTCGGCACTTCTCTTCATGACGATCATGAGGAATCTGGGCATAAAAAGGGGCAGTCCCAAATCCAATGACAAAGGACATCGTACGCAACTCCTGGACAAAACCCTCAACACCAAACAGGTACTCAGGCTTGTAACGCGGCATCTAAAGTCAAGTGAAAGGAGGGAGTTAAGAACTTTATCCAATTAATAACTTTTTGCAGCAGGACTCTCTAGGACTGCTCGTAAATCAGACCCTTTCTCATATCTAACATAATTTTTGCCAGGCAAATGTACAACTAATCGCTCAACAGGTGGCATTCTATAATGTATATCAAACTCAAATAGTCGATGAAGAGACTCACATGTAGAAAGGAACCTACCATCCATATATTCTAATATTTCATCTCGCGGTGCAAGGTCATGATTTGGTGATGCATTTGTTGTTTTACCGGTTGTCTCAAAATAGATTCTAGCACGATCTTGACCCTTTGTGATATATTTAAATAAATATTTTATCAAATTTGATTTATTACACCACTCAACATTTATGTGTGCTTGATATGTTTTAAGCAGCTTCATGTTGTAAGGAACAACCGATCTGTTGTCCAATGGAATTCCATTTTTTATAATATGTCGTCGATCATTTCGTCGTCTATAAATTGTAAAGCCAGCCTCATCAATAATGGTTTCATCCTGAAAATCTTTTGGATAATTTTTTGAGCATTTATTATTTTTCATGCAAGCACAACTTTTGTTCGCATCTCCACACGGACCATGCATCATGAATTCACTAACCAATTCATATGCTAGTCGATCAGTATCATAGTCTGGTATTTCAGCACAAATAAAACCATCTATTACCGATGCTAATATCTCAGCGGTGGGTGCTGCAAGCCATACCAAGCAATGTATGTGTGGGAGTCCACGCTTTTGGAACTCAACGGTGTAGAGTACTGGAATAATTTTAAATAATAAGTAATCACATACTTCTACGTTTAAGGAATACTATATGAAATAGGAAGGAGCAAAAATATCTGCAAGAACTTTACCAAAAGTTCTGCCTTCTCTAATGTCAGTTATGAATTCATTAACTTTCATATTAAATACGCGCACAATGATATCAGCTCTATCAGATGGTTGTTGATCAGGTTCAAATCGAATTGCTTCAGCAATTTCTTGCCATTTAGAATTACATGTGTACGTCACAAAGAGATCGGGTGAGCCGTACACACGACATATTGCCATTGCATCTTGATAATTCATTACCATATATGTCCTTCCTCCAGTGAAGCTGGCAGGAAGTATCATGCGCTTGCCAACTGAATCTCCATCGGTGACACCTCTATCGATTGCATCTACAATTCCATCTACAGACTCAGCTCGTAACTCAGGTTGGTGGTCAATGAAAAATTGTAACCTATTAGCCTCAATAGTAGAAAACACATCAACATCGATTTGATCGCTTAGTCGTCCATAGCATGTGAAAGGATTTGGTTCATTTAGTCTATAGTGCATTCTGTATCTAAAAAATTCCTGCATTGTCACATATTTTCTTCCAATTCCATCATAATTATTATACTTAATGCCTAAATGGAATCCTCGTTCACCGTATGGAAATAATAAAGGATATTGCAGGGCCATATATGATGGATGCAGTGGCGAAACCTGGTGTAATCCATGGTCTTTATCATAGACAAGCACATCAAATTTGTACTTTTTTGCTGAGAAATCACCAACTATTATGCCAGATATTTCACCACTTGTTGGTAAATTGTATTGCACATCATCTTTCGCATTGCAGCCTAAGAGACGAAGAGTTAGCTGTTGGTTGCCATGTTCAGAAATTCGTTCTCTAGCATACCTAAAGTTCTGCACAAGGCTATTTTCACTATCAAGCATCAATGAAAGGGCAGCAACTATTTTAGGATCAGCTCTATCTGCATTATCTCCATCATTTTCAAAAATATTTAGTCTGATCTGTGTTTCATTTTCAGGATCATAAATATATAACTGTGCAAATTTTGGAGGTGAACCATGAGATGGCAAAAGACAACCAATCCTATGATGGACAACACCATTAATCTTGAAAACATAAGGCGCATTTCCAATATTAATTGATTTGTCGATGCTTGCACCCATTGAAGTGAAAGCAAACATCGAGTTATATGATCGTATCTACCTCAAAAATCTCTTTGATCGTGCATTGCCATTAAAATTTATTAATGTCGCAAGTGGTTCAGGGGGAGGGCGCAATTTGGGCAATTGTATTTTACCACCTTTGCAACACAAGTTATAGATTATTTTTCGCTTGGAAATAGCTGAAGTGCTTTTCACTCTTTCCTGATACCAAAACATGGCACCACAATATGGGCACTCATATGTTGGAGGACCGTAGTATGATCTGCCCGGGTAACATGCTGTAATATACGCAGTGAACAAAGTAAGAATTTATGTTTGGAAATAAAAAAAAGACTATTGTATGTATAGTAGGGGTGCAGACCCTTTAGTGACTTCACGTACTCCTTATCTGTCCGTGATGAGCTACCACTATTGTGTGCATTGAGAACTGCAGCAAACAAATATTCCAAGAATATTTTTACAAACCTATATGTGATTTGATATATTATGAATATATCATGAAAAATAACCTACATACCATTGTTAGTGCACGTAGGAGCAAGAGGAGGCATCTTTGAGCGTAGCAAAGAACGTCGTTGTCTATTTAACTTAGATAACTCAAGTGTGAAATTCATAATCGAACGTGCTCTTTTCCGCTCATTTCCACATGTAGACTGAACTGGTTCTACTATGGTATGTTCTATGTGCATGGGAAGCTGTCGAGATAGAATATTTGTAGCTCGCCTTTCCCGGCTAGCACGAACTCTGCGCACTCTATTTAAACCCTGATCTGACATGTCTACAAACAGCATAACATGAGAATGTAAAGGAAAGAGGAGCTAGGAAGTCATATATAGAGAAGGAAAAAATAGGTAAGGGGAGGAAAGATGACCATAGCTAAAAAGAGAGATGAGACATAAAAAAAAAAAGAAACATATGCATGACCATCTATGTAACAGCTAGTAGAAAGTATACACTCAACCGTTATAACAGTGCATGTACGTTCTCTCTCGTACAACCACAACACACAAGGCAATGATTCAAACAAAGCTAGTAATTTTTACACAAGGAACAAAAGAACACTCCACAATGACAAAAAGAATGTTGATACGGAGAAACCAATCCATGCATACAGAGATGCAGCATACATCACAAAACTGATAGATAATTTGCTTGTAAAAACCACGCAAAAAATAAACAGTATGAAGTAATAAATTACCTTCGAGTCTTCGACGAAAGAACGACGGGGACAGGAACGACAGACGATCAGCAATAAGAGAGATCACACTGGCTACCACCAAGAACACTAACTGAAATCCGAAATCTCCTAAAGCAGCAATAATAACAACGAACAACTACCCACAGAACCGATCAGAGCTGCATGACAAACGCAAAAAGATTAGTACAGAATAATCTTGAGCCGAATGCAGCCAAAAGAATACGATTTATGTCACAAAATGTCGAGAAGAAAAGAGAAAAAAAAGAATACCTGCCAAATCACATCAGCAGCTCTTGCACTTATTAAGAAAAACAATCAAGAACCTTTGAAATTGCGATCTAACCCATGCAAATCTTCTCCCCTGTGAAAAACCAATATTAAACGATCAATAATGAAGAGGCACAGATCAGGCACACCCAAAAAGGACACAATCTGAATCTAATTGAATCCACACATATAAAAAAGAAGAAATCCATTTAAATCCAATTATTACCCTGCCATTAGTAATGGATGATTTAGCACAATGATAATAGGTCGATCAGTGGTGTGAAATCGGTGAACAACACACAACTGAATGCAGTGAGATAAGGCGAGAAGCGAGAGGAAGGAAGCAAGCAATATTGGAGGCGATACATATAAGGATGAAACCAATATGCTATTTTAGCTTAAAAAATAAAAGCAATCTCATATCCACCGTGAAAGAAAGGTACCCACCAATAACAAATAGACAACTGTCAACACCATGACAGGCGGTCCCAGTAGCAGTGAAACAATTGTTTTGCCTCTAGTAAAACTATCACCCAACTAAGTGAAATGCAACAGTATATGATCGAGTACAACGGATTAAGACATGGACAAATGCTGGTGGTCCAACCAGCAAACACAAAAACTGGTACCCCACAATGCAGAGACCCAAGGTGCATAGACCATGTGCAAGCTATTGTGATGTGGCCAAGACAAAAACGAACCAATAGTGTAAGGATGCTTCCACTTAGTGGAGCTGCAGGTAGCGATCAGATCGCATACACCGTGAGCACAATGCACAGCATAGAAGTGACTAAAAGCAAAACAGGGGCCACAAAACATACACAGAAGACCGTAGATTAGTTCCAACGGTGCATGTAAACAGTATAAGAGCGCTGACACAAAGGACAAGCCTCTCGCATAAACAAGTTCTATGGTTGGTTCTAACAAAGAAAAAGTGAATGGCCCACATAGCAGTGGCACTAAGACCATGCACCAAGGTCATTGATGAAACACAGGAAGCGCACACTCGCATGGTCTCCTAGACAGCAAGACCAACCAGCTTGAGCGGACAAATTGGTAAGAATAACGCACAAACAAATCAGCGGTGCACGATACCGATTCAGAAACGGATGAGAAACAAATCAGCAGTGCACAATACCGATTTCCAGAGACGGATGACGCGCCGGCACGCCGCAAGGGGCACGACAGCACCAAATCTGACGACGCCAATGGCACCGACCGGGCTGCTCCCTCTCCAAATCGGGTCGCTGCCCTCCTCAACAGCCTCCCGCGCTCATACGGCCCCCGCCGGTTTCTTGAGTCGATCCGCGCCACCATCGCCGTCACGGTGCCGGGTGCAGGAGGAGGGGCGGCCGCCGGTTTCCCCTCGCCTCCGCTCAGCACGACCTGCCGGCGAGGAGGCCGGGACCTCCCTGTTGATGGATGCAGCGATGGCAGCCACATGGGTATGGCGACAGCAAATCGACGGCGAAACGATGGTGCGGCGACGGCGGGAAGACGATGCGCCGACGGTGGCCGCTCATACAAAGAGGATGACTGGAAGCGGCGGCTGTTCGCTGGGTAGCGCGAGAAGGAGCGAGAAAAGGGGAGGAGGCGGAGGAAGGAACGGCGGCGGCTGGGATTGGGTTGGGGGCGGTACCGTGGTAGGGATAGGATTAGATTTTTTTTGCAGAAACAACCCTCAATTTCTGTTTCTTAAAGCACGATCCTATTTTCCAATCTTTTGCTTCTTGGCCTAGAATATAACGATTCATTGAGTGTCTGTACATATAAACGCAGCACGTACCAAGCCAAGCTAGACACCTAAAACAAATATGAATAAAACATATGGTCTTTCTTGCAAAACTACAAGTGACGACGCGGAGACACGAGCGCTCGTGAAATCCCGCCTGTTCGCAGCATCGATGACGCATCGGCACCCGCGGGTGGCCAAGCCAGCGCAAAATCGCCGCGGCTCATGCGATTTCCAAGTATTCCAATATATCCAGGAGGTTTGAAGTATTCCAATATTGTTATACTGGCCCTTCTAGCCTCTCTTCTTGAAAAACAATCAGATAGCATCACAAATATCCTATCCTTTTTGTCGGACAAAAGAGTTGAGACAAACTCTGAGAATTTGTGCCGAGTGCAAGTTCAAACTAGATGTTGCTGAAGCACCCAAAGCACTCTGAAAATTGAGTAAAACTGTACATCGGGGTCATATGGTGACCTGTTATGCTCCTTAAAAGAGAAGGTGGAGAAGCACAGGTGCTACAGGTTGACCTGTTTGAAAGCGATGATTGTTGGATGAAATGAAATGGATAATTCACTACATGAACATGATAAATTATCATTTTAAAAAATAAACTTAATAAATAGCTAAGAACAAGTGAAATACTGTACATGATTTTTTTATTTTGGAAAACATATTTTTACAAGCGTGGAGCATATAATCCAAAAATAAACCGGGCTAGTAAGTCACGAAGTAGTTCAGAATGGGGCAGGTTATCCTACTGAATGGTAGGCATAAGGGCAAGTTTTATAGTAGGGGCAGTTGCCACTTCTAATTTTATCCATGTAAATTAAGAGGTGATGTATACAATACGCCACATCTACACTACCTTTAGCATACTAACCCAAATAATTTTATTTTATTTTTTTCCAATCCCCTCTTTCTTTCATCTCCTTTATTGGGTTTGTGTGGAGGTTGCCCTTTGCATGAGGAGTGGCTCACATTCTCTTTTCTCACTTATATTTTTCACCTCATCATCCAATCCTATGTGGTATTCTTAGAGGTAACATATCAGAGTTTTATAATGGAGGTGATATTCACAATTCATTTAGTACACATCATCAACTCATTAATTAATTAAGAGACAATATATATAACAAATTACCTCTAGCACATTTGCCCTAATACGTCATATTAATTTTACTTTATTTGTTTCCTACTAATTCATTGCTCTCTTGTTCTTATCTCTCAGAGTTTTTGTGGAGGTCGCTCCTTGCATGAGAGGTGACTCTTTCTCTCTCTTTTCATATTCCTTATCCACCTCATCATGTGAGCTTATATGGCACCTATAGGTAAGTGTGTAGAGGCTTATAGTACTTGCCATCAAGCATTATAGTACTTTCCCTAAAAAGTATTGAGAACTTGCGTTATGACTACTTACATAAAACTATGGTGTTCGAACTGATAAACTGGATGATACCCCCACACATTACATCGGTATTGTCTACTAAAACTATATTGTATTATATGTGAATTAATAAGTGGTCATGTTTTATATATTTCGTGATGAACAATTGGCATGCGATTCATATTGGTGTTGGTATTTGGTGGATAATTGGCGAAGTGGTAGTTTGTTTCTGTGTGGAACCGATCAGACCGGGCAAGGTGTGCCGATCAGATTGGTGTATTGCATACAGTCAGACCAACCAACCCAATGGTCTAACCAGCTGGATGATTGGTGTCGGTTTCGGGTTGTTTCATTGATACTCGTGATTATCTCATGTTTTATGACTTTTGGATGATTTTATACATGCGTAATAATGTAATGTACTAATGTCGAGTCAAGTTCAGCAAGAGTTTATGATCAGATATGATTTCTTGTTTGATTCATGTGTAGATGTGTCTTGATGCCATGAGAGAGCATTGCCAGTGATGGATCGGGAGTCGACTTGAGAAAAGTTGATGTTTGGATGATCGGAAGATCATGCGGGATGCTTTGGCTAAAAAACAATGCACGTGGTTGGTGAAGATTCCATGCAGCATATGGTAGGAGATTGTGTGCGTATGAAAAGCGAAGTCGAATTTGGAGGGAGTCCAAATTTAGGAAGAATAGAGTTTGAAATTAATGAGATAAGTTGAATACTTATATGGGAAGGTTTCCTAGTGCATTAGGTCTGCTTGTACAAGTTGGATTTGTGACTTTTGGGGAGTCACTCAAGACGTAAATAGACGAGGGGTTGAGACCTCTCGGTGTCAATTTTTTAAATACAATAGAAGCATTAATGTTTGCTCTACTTTCAAGAGTTCTTCGATTTGCCTTCTTCTCTGTTACGACGGTTTTACTGACAGAAGCATGATGATCAAACCAGCAACAGTGACCGGTGATGGCAGCAAAAAGGGCGGTTAGACCGGCTAATCTACACCAGTTATACCGACAGCAAGGTGGTTTATCAGTGTTTCTACCATTGGAACAATCCCCCCCCAGGCGCGCGTGCATGCTCTGGTAGGCTTATTTCTTGATATTAGATCCTACAAGTGGTATCAAAGCCTTTTTATTCTTTTCGCTCTTTGCCGATCTTGATTTTAGTCATGGCTGATAAATTTACTATTAATTCACGTGTTTTTAATGGAGTTCATTTCCCTTCTGGTGCAAAAAGATGCAAGCTTACATTACATCTCGAAGTTATGATATTTGGCTTAATGTTTCTGATCCATATGTAGTTCCTTCTCATATCAAACCGTTGTTCTAGAAACTAATTATGATCACAACTGTAAAGCTCGCAATACTTTGCTTAATTGAATTCCTCATTCAGATTTTGATCGTGTTTCTCATCTTCCAACTACGTATGAGATTCGGAAGATGTTATATGATTTTCACCAAGGAACTTCCAAAATCAAGTAACTACGCAAAGATGTCTTTAAAGAGGATTATATGAAATTTGAGATGAAATTTCTAGAGGCTTTAGATGACTACTTTGCGTGATTTAACGAACTTTTGAGCAATCTTAGATCTGTTGATAAATCTTATGACTTGTTTCGTATGTCTTGAAAATAGCACAGACAAAACTCTGTCCGGAACGGAGCCTAAGGCCTCGTTTGATCTCTCAGTTGGGAGCATTATTTCTGCGCATGTAAAATAAGAAAACTCATTAACACATGATTAATTAAGTATTAATAATTATTGTAAAATTTAATTTATATTTATTTGAATTTTATAGATTTTTTAAAACAACTTATCGACATAAACCTTTTGTAAAAACGATTTGAAAATCGTTCTAACGAAAAACGATGAAGTTAAACTTTGGAGTTGAGAAAAAAAAGCAAGAAAAGAGCATAGAAATCAGTAGCAGATAACAACGTGATAACAGCAATTACGTGGTTGTTAGCAACCAGCAGACCGACACTTGATTTCGCCCAACAAAAACGTTTGATTTGGTGGCAATACAAAACCAGTAATACGTGTGTGGTGAAATGTCCTCCTCTCGTTGACATCTTGACTTTCGTTGCCACCTGCCTCGAGATCCGCTCACACGAACACGTCGACCATTAATGGACACTGATCATTCTTGGGTCGACCAGTATACGTACGGTACACAATCCATGTCATTTAAAATTTCAAAGTTGAAATTTACATAAAAACAACCACCGAAATTCCATATGAAAAACAACCAGAATTTCTAAAATCCAACTAGCTAGCTTGCCTGGGAACAAATAAATTTGTACCCTCCAGCTCACACTCAATGTCACCTGGATATATATTTGTCCCACTCCCAACACGACGACCACCACCACATTTGTCCCAACACACCACCACCACACTCAAGATCAATGTCGCGATCCACGGCGGCGACCGCCGCCGTGGTGGTGGCCGTGGCCGTGGTGGCCGCGATGGCGATGCCGGCGGCTGGCCAGGGCGCGCCGTCGGGGTCGCCGGCGCCGCCGTACAAGAACCACACGGTGGCCGGCGCCGACGGGTGGTTCTTCAACGCGACGAGCAACACCACCTCCGGCAACTACTCCGACTGGGCCGCCGGCGAGACCTTCTATCTCGGCGACTACCTCAGTACGTCCATCGCTTGCTTCTCTATCTGCTCCTCTGTTCTGCTTCCACTGATGCAGACTTGCAGTAGCTAGTAGGAGTTGCATGCTTAAAACTTCAGAATTTTCGACTGGTACTGAAGTGAAATGTGTAGAAAATCTTGCAAGTTTCAGAATTCATAATTCCTGATTATGTTAGTTGCATAGAGAAAACATAGTTCGGGTCAAGCATGAAACGTAGCATTCTCCATTAGTGCCATCTACTGACTCACTAACAAATCAAGGTTTCAGAGTTCAGATCCAGATCTGGTACAAGTTGCAAAAGCCTAACAAGCTCCCAAGCATGCATGAGCAAATCGGAATCTTTTTTTTCTAGACTAGACAAAGGAGCACCGCTAGCTAGCACGTGCCGTGCCATACCAGCACTGGTGGAGAAATCGTTTGTAGTCTCGGTTGGTAACCCCCTTTAATCCCGGTTGTCTAACCGGGACTACGAATCCGGGACAAAAAATAGCTATCTTTAGTCCCGGGTAAAATAACCGGGACTAAAGATCGATCTTTAGTCCCGGTTCGTGTTACCAATCGGGACTAAAGATCGGTCAGCCACGTGGCCGGCCGAATCATCTTTAGTCCCGGTTTGTGTTACTAACCGGTCAACATCTGTGATTAACATTTCTGTGAAATTTCTATTGAACTGGATGCCAGGAAGCTTATTTTTTATACTTTAACAAATTTTGCGCATGATGGTCTCTTATTACACTTGTCATATCGAAAACAGCATATCTGTAAGCAAGATATTAGCTGACAATCTCCCAAAATTCATGTCATTTGAGGAAACAATCCTAAAATAGCAAAAGCATTTCTAAATTCAGCAAAAATTTAGTACTACTTACTAGTTCTCTCATGTTTTATCTAGCAATCTCACTAATTGAATTGACCAACCATATTTTCTCATTCATAATTGAGAAAATTAATTGAACGGATAGCTCGCCAGTTTGTATCTGAAAACTCGTTTGCTTTTCCAGTCTTCAAGACGGACGACAGCTCGTCGGTGGTTCAGACGTCGAACGCCACCGCCTACTCGCTCTGCGACGCCGAGGGCCCGGAGACCCTCATCTACAGCCCCGGCCACGGCGACGCGGCGTCGGCGTCCCCGCGCGCCGCCACCATCGCCGTCCCGCTCACCGTCGAGGGCGCCAACTACTTCTTCTCCGAAGCCGGCGACGGCGCGCAGTGCGAGGAAGGGATGCGGTTCGAGATCAAGGTCGCCCACGGCCGCGGCCTGCCGCCGGACCTCGCGCACCCGCCGCCGCCGCCGAAGCCGCGCGTCCTCGCGCCGCCGCCCGACGGGACGAGCATGAGCCCGGGCGTCGCCGGCGCCGGCGCCGGCGCCGCCGGCGACTTGACGGAGGGGAAGAGCGGCGGGAGCCGAGCCGGCGTGGGGTTGTTGGGGGTAGCTGTTGGGGTGGGGTTGGCAGTTTTGGTCGCTGCCTGAGTGGGTGGGCCCACATTGTCATTGTCCCAGTTGTAAGATTTATTTACTGTATTTTGTTGGACGAATAAGCTATTCAATTCCATTGGTTATTAAAAGTTGAGTTTTTCATTTTTAGAGCTAACATGAATTTATGATGAGTTTTGCAAACTATGGAATAGATAAAGTCAACTATATGCTATATGTACTTTTATAGGTATTTTATATACACATAATGTATTAAGTTTTAGCTTCCAGTGAATAAGTGAATAATTTTATTAGTCCAAGAAATCCGAGTTCACTTTTTTTTGTGTTTTTATAAATTTCCTATGTTTTACAAGTCATGATATGCCTTCTGGTAATAATTTGCTACATATAAACTTTTAAAAGTGTTTCTAGTGCTGCATGGTGCACGTTTTAATTCATGGTAATTAAGGTCATAATGTTATCAGTTTAACAAAACTGAAATCACTCTATTTGGAGTTATAACTAATGCTATATGTATTTTGGGAGTTTTTTTACTAATTATGGACATTTACATGCTACATAAATTTGGAGGTATATTATGTACTAATCCTTCCATGTTCTAGTTTACAGAAATAAATATGATTGTGTGATCCTAACAAATTTATGTTCTCAGCATTTGGACCTAAGATGTACTACCTCCGTCCCATAAAAATTACATTTCTAGTTAATTTAGGACAAAATAGTAGTATTGAAAAATGACCACAATGACCTTATTTAATGAACCCACTATATGCACACATTCCATATATACAAATGATTAAAAGGGAGTTTGAGAGAATTAACCCATGTAATTAGCATACTTAATAAAATTACAAGCATTAGCACAGCCCAAATTACGTGGGATGGAAGGAAACTTATATAGATGAATTAATTTGTTGGGCCCCACATGGCTAGAAATACAATTTTTGTAGGACAAAGCCTTGGAGCTAGAAATGCAATTTTTATGGGACGGAGGGAGTACTTTATATGTGCTTTACAAGTTGGAATACATATAGTTATCCTATTCAAATCTTGAGTTATTTTCCGTACATAACGAACCATATTTTATTTTATATCAATATAGATAATAATTTCGTGAATCTACTGAAATTTACTTCATTCAAATTGGAGCAAAGATAAATTTCTACAATTTTTACAAGTTTACTCATTTTTCAGCTTAACAGAAATTGATTTAGATAATTTCCTTATATTTTCCAGATTTTATGTTAATGGACCCACTAGTCAGTGAAACAGGTTTTGGAAAATAAAAAACCCTGGAAGAGTGGGACATTTAATTATTAGCCACTTTTAAGATGGCAAATAATTATGGATGTCTCAATTAAGGATTTCTCATTCGCTAACATGCGCGTCCTTATGTGTATATGACATGTAGGTTTAGTGGCAAATCCTTATGAACCACTCGTAATAAAAATAAGGAATATTAGAAGAAGAGTATAGAGTCCCTGTAGAAATTTTGAATGAACTAAATTTTAGAATAAAAATAGTAAAATTAAAAGTAGAGTTTAAATAATAGAATTAACTAATTTTAATAGATTATAGTGAACAATGATCCTACAGGTAATTAGGAACTAACCAATAATAATTTTCACGATGTAAATCTTAATTACTCGAGAAAGATACTTCTATGAAAGCAGAGTAATTAACAAGGTATAAAAGGTAAGAGAAGAATTACTGACAACTCCAGAATTCCTTCGATTTCTTCTACCTAATCTAGTATATAATAAAGTACAATAGAATCTCTTTAAATTCAACTTGTGCGTTGGTGTATGTAGAATGAAGGACGAGGTGGGTTGTTTATAGGTGGAAGTGCCGGAGGATAAAGTTTATTCCAAGCATCCTATGAGCATCTTCATCCTCCTAGTGCCAAGTGTCCCTTCTGATGATGGTTAGAGCGCCGAAAACAGTCACAACCGTCATTGGGAAGGTCATTATCTACCAAACGCAACCTGGGCCTAGGCTAGCGGCCTCTGTCAGAGTTTGGCCGAACTCAGGGTTCGGCGGAACCTGGCCGGCTCCGTTGGCCCAGGTTTTCAGCCTGGACACACTACTACGGAAACCATCTTTTATGGTGGCCATTTTGGATTTCCGCTGGCGGAAATCGCAGCCACCACAAAGCAAAGGCCAATGAAAATGTTGATCTTCGCTAGCGGTTATTTACCACCAGCCAAAATACTTCTTCGCTGGCGGCCGACAAAGGAACACCCGCCAGCAAAGACATGTCTTCGCTAGCGGTACCCTTAGGATGGCCGCTAGAGAAGACAATTCACTGCTTGCGGTAGTCTTAGGATGGCCGCCAGTGATGATATTTCTTTGCTGGCGGCTTACAGTATTTTAGGCCACGTGGCACGCTAGGAAAAATGACATAAGGCTTCTGTGGTTGGACATGTGGCCTGACAGCGAAGATATGGACCGTTCTAGTTCTGGCATGTGGCCCGCCAGTGAAGATGCAATTTTTTTAAAAAAAATTAAAAACAATATTATATATACTATTTTTTCTTTTGTTTGTATGCGTATTTCAAAGTCGCACGTGTATGATATAACTAATCGAGCTATCAATAGAGTATGTTCTCTTTCGCGTATTTTAGAGCCACACATGGAGTATGAAGCAGAATATACATATATATAATTTCGAAGCACCTTTATGTACATTGACAAAGTAAATTCAACCGGCGACATAATATATACAAGTATTTTGAATGTATTACAAAACCCTAGTTATATTAAACTCCTACTCCAGTTAGACAGGGATTCGTTCTCCGGCATGCCCAAAACTCCTTCGTTATCGAAAAACTTCCCAAGCTGATGTGCGCACTCACGTTGGATGAAGTAGCACATGTCCAGCTGTATGTTCTCAATGGATTTATCATCGAGCTAAAGGGCCTGTAGCCTAGTGGTTACAAGAGCCTCAGTAGCACCTGAGGTCCTGGGTTCGACTCCCCATGGGAGCGAATTTTCTAGGATTTAACGGCGTTGTGCTTTTAGTGGTAGGCGACGTACCCGTCGACAGCGAGGCGCCTGTGGTGACTTCGTCAATCTCTCCAGGATTTGCCGGCCCAGTCTTCGAAGATGCTCATAGGGTAGGGTTTGCGTGCGTGCGTTCATAGGGGTGAGTGCGCGTGCGTTGTGAGTGTCTGCATTGTATTGTGTAATTCTAAAAAAAATGGATTTATCATCGAGCTCTCTTTGAGACTTGGGGAATTTTGGAAGCTGCATCAGATCATGACAAATTAAGGAAATTATTTCAATAATACAAGTTAGCGACTAATTTAACAAGTGTGTATTACTTACCTCGTCATAATTCGCGCAATATTTCCCATTAACCCTTAGGAAATCACAACAGTAATATCCGCATAGTACAGTTCCCGCCGATTGCTTGTGACACTTTCAACATCAAGAAATTATAAGGTATATTAGGTTATTAAATGGATACACACAAGCATTTATGAAAATTAAGTAGTACTTTTTGGCATCCATATGTACTTACCGGTCACTTATTGCAGACGTATATGCGTTCTCTTGAGTTTTTGCGTTGTCCGCCTCGCTGGTAATACCTTTTAAATGCACTGTTTGCAGATATAATTAATTTACATTCCTCAGAGATTAAAACACGTCATGCTAATATATAACTTACAGATAGATAATTCTTAGAAATTCCTGATATGTCTTGCTGTCTTTGTCGAGAGAATCCAAGACGATGACTTCATTGTACTTTGGATAGAGAAGAAAGATTATCCTATGGTCGCTACAAACGAAATTGTTAGTCGAGCCATGATTATATGTATATACTCTTAGTGCATATTACAACTTACTCAAAGGCATATGGGGCATAAACACACTCCTTGTCCTGCGTAGATTCAAGCGCTATAGCTACGTACGTAGCGACATCGAGCAGCTTTCCTGATGCCTTTGTCCTATGTAAGCTGTCCTCTCTTCGGGAGTCATCAGCTTGATGTGTTCTAGGAGCTTCTTCTCGTCTAGCGTGTATGTGTGGTTCGGCTGACTTATCCTGCACGGTTTAGGTAGGCGACAGGCTTTTTCATCTCTTCGGCTTCCACATAATTCATCATGCCAACAATGGATGATAAAATGAGCTACGCATATAGGTATAGTGATTTTTTAACACGTTCAAGTCTAGCACTTACAGACACCAGATAGCAATCAAATTGGCGTCCAGCCTCTTCCTATGGAAGAGGGAATGTATATTGGAGAAATGGACTTGGAGTAGACATGGACCACTCCAGAAGATATTCTCCCCCATGGCAACTGCGAATGATGAAATGCCTTTAATGGTTCTTGCCCTTAGGTACTTTTTTTTTGACTGGAAATACTGTCAGGGCTTTGCCCAGCAATGTAATTTTATAGAGATTGAAAAATATTTACAAGGTTACAGAGTTATAAGAGGAAACCGCAAGAAAGACTATAAGGTTTGCAACCAATTAAAAATAAATTGCTTTAAGGGATCCTTCATTCTGCACATATGCAGAAGAACTTCTTTGACAAAAAGTGACCTTCAGGCTTTGAAGGAGGGTTGAACGTTTTGAAAGATTAAACCATTCCTTTGCTTCCATATGTGCCATGCTGCCAAAAAGAAAATCTCCAAGAAACCCCTCTAAGCAAACTTGATTCTTGCTAGGGCGATCATTTGGAAAAACTCCAAATTATGATTCCACTCAACTCCCAGGTGCTGCCAACACCTGATACTGAACGGACAGGTGAAGAAAAGATGTAACCCTGTTTCTTTGCAATACGCATTGCACAAAACACATGTGAGGTCATCATCTTCTTTGGCACAATGTCTTCTATCCAACATATCTCTTGTGTTGAGTTTGTCACAGAACATGAGCCAGGCAAAAACTTTTATCTTCATGACACATTTTGTTTTCCACAACCAAATCATGGGTCTGGGGGTTGTAACGCAGAAAAGTTAAGCTTATAGAATTTCTTAGCTTTGTACTTGTCTGAACACCAGATAAAATTCCAAGCATCCCCCTTCCTGACTGTATATTCAGATTGCCTAGAACTTCCTGTAGCTACAAAAATTCAGAATAGGCCACATCTGAGAAAGGTAGGGTAAAAGAATCTTCTAAAGGTCTTGAACATATGGCTTTCGCTGAATCAGTTTTATACATGGTCACAGCAAAAAGATT